CAGTCCGTCAGTATACTACTCTCCTCATTTTCTTAATAACTGAAATAAGCAAAAACTATTCTATAAGCTTACACACTGTTTACTTACTCTGTTTTCTGATTATATAGAACACTTTTATACTTGTGGTATCTTAGAACACAGAGCTATACTTTGTGACCCCTGGGGTTGGGGAAAGGGGTCAGGGGGACGTCTAGGTACCGTTGGTGTCTAGTTGGTGGGGGTGATATAACAATGCATGTAGTATATTATGTTATACAAGTAATAAGTGAGAGAAGGTTATGTAGTATGTGATATTATATGTAATAACTTGTGCCAGGTGTTGGTTATAAAACTGACTAACTGTCAAGGTTACACTTATTGTAATACTTAGTTAGTAGGGCAATATAAATTATGCCAACTTGTGATTTAATAGTATACAAATATTGATTTAAAGTTGTATTAATCTACTAATTCTCTATTGTTTCAATCAGGGCAGTTGATATGGCTCTTGTTTCAATCAGGGCAGATGATTTGGCTCTTGTCAGACTTGAGCGGCAGGGAAACTCAAATTCAAGGTTTCCGAAAATTTCCAAATTTCAACCAATTTGAATTGACTGTCTACTGAAATACAGTACCAATACTAAAACAATTCGGTGTTTAATGAGAATAATATTTACATATGAACATGAGAAATATATTCAGAATTAGGTGAATTTCCTGTTGTCAAAACTAGCGTGATCTGTGATAATTCGGTCAAATTTTGTGATTTCTAAATTGAATTTTTTCTGTCATTTGACAAATAATGTATTTGTAATGAAATGTTTAATAGCAGTGTAGAATAGAGGTCCATAGGAATGACATGACTTGGTAACTCTACACACTTCAGCCCTAGAAATTACATTATAAAAATGACCATATTTTGGACTGGAAATTGTCATCTGAACTGTTTAGTTTTAATTTCAAACAATATTGCTTTCATTCAACTCAAAGACAATCTAAAACTTTCAGTAATATTTTGGAGATTCTTATGAAATATATTATGGTGGTTGAAAGCCAAAAACATGTTACTCTCTAACAGAAGGCACTGGCCCAGAGTTAAAACAGGGTTCACTTATGTAAAGGTTTATATTTGTTTATTATAATTTTTAACAGATTTTAAGAAAAACTAGTTGAGGAAATAAAGTTTTAATGTTTTCTGTTATTTTTTCAGAGCCTTTTATTTCTTGACGTATAATAAAACCAAACAGTTTTTAAATAGTCAGTTAATGCCTGATACAGCACAGGTTCACATCTTATCAGCTATAAGTGGAGGTATGTACATTTCAAAATTCCCCTCATTGTGCACACCCCCTGCCCCTTTCACAAGTGAGTGAATTGACCCTTGCAGTCTGTTAGGCAGAATTGTTTAGAAAGAGAAATGACTTTTGAAGCAGAATAAAAGTATACAAAAGACACTACTTGGAAATAAAGAAATAACAATTTTTTTTACGAGGATTACAACTTTGGTTCATAAGAATCTACCACCTGCTCCGTGATCTCTTAGCATTTATCTTAACCAGAATATCCTACACATTTACTACTGAAATAATGATCAGAACCCACAACCACCATTTGTTTGACTGCTCTAACTTCATGTCTATTTTGTTTCAGGTTTTGTATCTAATACTTTAACCAATCCAATCTGGTTTGTAAAGACACGATTACAGCTAGATCAGAAGTAGGTCATTTATTTTTTTGTCATCCAGCCTAAAATGAAAATATAGGTTGCTATTACCAAGTGATTATGTTGACGTCATGCTTATACCTCGACTACAATAGCCACTATTCCACTATTACCACAGAATGCAGCTAGATGATGGATTGTATGTCAGAGCTCTGGACAGATGGCTGTAAATATTATTGCTTTGTGTTTACCGACTTTAAGTTGAAGCCTCTGATTGGCTGTACTCACAAGCATACAATCCAATCATATCGCATATATACAAATTTCAATAATACATTTGGTGACATAGCAGTCAATGTATAAATATGAAGTTCGTTGTAGCTTCACATTGTACATTATCATTTGATGTCATATTACATTAACATCTTAATCAAACTTTTTCCTTTATTCAAATTCAATGTTCAAAGGTTTAAATATTACTAATAACAATAGTTTCCACTATTGATTCAATGATTAATATATTGAACATTGTCTATTTCAGTCGTGATGGGCGTTTTCGTGTGATAAATTGTGTTAAAAATGTATATAGTAAAGGAGGTTTTCTAGGTTTTTATAAAGGAATATCAGCCTCATATTTTGGAATCTCAGAAACAGTGCTATATTTTGTGACTTATGAATATCTTAAAGAGAAATATACGACAGCAAATCATTCGTGTGAAAAAACAGGTGCTGATTTCCTTAAGTTTATGTTGGCGTCTGCTGTGGCTAAAACGTTTGCAACAATGGTAGCCTATCCTCATGGTAAGCACAATTTTTATATTGGCAATCTTAATCCCTTTTCCACTTGTTTCCGACAAAGGTATGGTACTTAAAAATAACTAAGAGTGTGATTCTTGCTCACTTTTAACAGAAGTAAGTGTTCGCTCTCTAACAAAAATGTGTAGAAAAGGTCCATGAGAGTCAAAATGGCTGACTCTGCTCATGCAGATTTGTTAATCTTTAATACATTGCCATTTACACTGTGATTTAAATTTCTACAACTAAGGGAAAAAAGTAGGAAATTTAACTCCATTTCATTTTATGTTACTCGGTGAAGAAGAGTTCAAACGTGTTTTTCTTTTTATTTGCCAAGAACAGAAGCTTGATTTTTGTTTCTGTTCTATTTTTCAGAGGTGGTAAGAACACGATTACGTCAAGAGGGAAACAAATACAACTCATTTTTACAGACATTATTTTTGGTGAAAAAAGAGGAGGGAGTTGCCGCCCTGTATAGGGGCCTGGCAACACAATTCGCTCGACAAATACCAAACAGTGCTATCGTTATGGTTACATATGAAGCTATTGTTTATTTCTTTTGTAATAATGACGAACGATAAAATAGTTTTGGGCAAAAAACTTTGAATTTGTGAAATCAGTATTGTGTGATTTGTGGATCAGAAAGTGTTAAAATACTTTTAATTGATTGGACAGAAATTTGAATGAAGAACCAATCGAAAGCTGAGAACTCAAATTATGCAAATTAGTTGACTGATATTATTGATATCTGAAATCATGGCTGGAAATAATGTGCCTGGTATGCTGACATCCCTCAAATCATTATTGAACTCTCCCACACACATGCTTTTTCTATCAATATGATACATTGATAAGTATGTTAGAAGAGTCCATTTGCCAAATCAGGGTAGTTATCTTGCCTGAAATTATTTTCAGCCTTGGAATATTCTGTCTTAATATAAATGATCACGCAGATAGGCTTCAACCTAATTAAAATACAGCTCCAGATAGTTTGTTTAGTTTATTTTCTCCCAGTTACTTCACTCTTCCCAGCTCTGACATAGTTTACTTTTGAGAAAGTTCAGCTGATGAAGTAATTGATTTATACAAACATATCAAAAGTCCAATCAAGTCATACAATATTGGCCATGTGGACTCTCAGAAAGAGATCTTGTTGCATGCCTACATTTCAAATTTCATTGAGTCCACACAGGTTTTAATGTAAAGATTAAAAACAAAATGAGGTATCTGTATTTTAATTAGATTGGCTTATCTAGGGCTGGGCAATATTGGGTTAAGTGCTAGTATTCATTGTGGTAACCTTAATGTGACATTGGTATTTATCGTGATACCAATATTCATCATAATACTGTTAAATATCGTGATACCAGTATAAATTATGCTAGTGGTATTCACTATGATACCTATATTCATCGTGATACTGTTAATTATCGTGATACCAATAAATTTGATACTGGTATCGTGACACTTGTATTGAGATACAGCTATCATCGTGATACAATTATTCATTGTGATACCAGTATTTTTCGTGATACAAATATATCACCCAGCCCAGTCCTTAAAAGTCAATGATATTGGTGTCAATGGACATAAACAATGTAAATATAATTATAGAATGTGGCTGTGACTGGATGAAAGAGATAAATGTATATTATTTATAGTTTTATATCATTTGGTTGTATTATGGGCATTCCTTATTATTGTATAATAATAAGCGGACATTTTGACATATGTTTTGACAAAATGAGAACACCCAAGCTTTTAAACATATTTGATAATATGGGTATATATGTTTTCTATATTTAAGTATGAGAAGTTTTGTTGTGTTGAAATTCAAAAGTGCTAGTTTGGACTCGGAATAAAGTATTTTTTTGTTTTTATAAAATCCGAGAAAGGGTTCCAACATTTTCAGAGTGTAAATTTTGACATTAAGCAGACTAATTTTGTTTTGCAAATGTGACTCATAACGTGTTAAAGCTTTTTTGAAATTCAGGGATCACAGACATCTAACGAATATAAGAATGATGTAAATTAAAGTTATAGGTGTCCCAATTTCTTGTAATACAACGCTATTAATTTTCCCACTACTAAAACTTATTTAGCTATCTCTAATTAGTGAAATACAAAATTTCATGAAATAATGTCAAAAATTGTTACATAAATTCATGGCCAAAATTAAGATATTGATATTAACACTGATATTTGTGCTTGTTTTAAGAATGTTTTGATGGTGACTTGGTATAAGACCAAACTGAACCATCTTGGGCATCAAGACAATTAATTGTGTAAAAAGGCATTTTGTGTCTTCAAGACTTGTTTAAGGTTTGTGTTATTTTATGGTTATCGCAGGGCAGAACACAGGGATATGAGGGAGATTTGACAGCTGATTAGTGATGTCTTAAGTTATTTATCTTAAAGTAAAGACGTTAAAAACTTGATCTAACTGTTTTATTTCTAATCATCTGATTGGATATTCACTTAAATTTATTACTATAATTAACCAATCAAATTACTGTATTTATTAAAAATCGTGATTTATAAATGAGAAATATGGCCCTGATGTAAAAAAAAAAAAAAAAACTGTAAATAATTATATTATGTTGTTGAGAATTGTTTACTGAGTTTTTTTGTAATTTTATATTCAATCCATTTTTAAATGTTTTGTCTATTTGAATGAGACTTGTTGTATTTGTTTTACAATACTGTACATGCAGTGAGTGACGAGTGTTGTACAATTTTTGGGTCCCAAGCAGAACTATTTACGGGTTAGATTCAGTTGGTTCAGTACGGCTAAATTAAAATGCATTTCAGGAAATTACTTATTGGGAGAAGGGAATCCTAAAGTTATTTATTTTTGTTTGCAGATATTAGTTGGTATCTCTAGTCAAAAAGCATTTAAATTCATTTTTTTTTTACCACAATCTGGACATAATACCTGTTAGTTCACAGTGGGTCAGTCAACCTGCATCACAATGAGTCATTTAACTCGGCAAGTCACTTAACTCACAGTGAGTCAAGTAATATGCCTACAGTGACTCACTTAATTTGCTTTCAGTAAGTCAGTTTACTCGTTTACAGTGAGTAATTTTACTTACAGTGAGTCAGTTTACTCACTTATAGTGATTCAGTTAACTCGATTATAATGAGTCAATTTACTAGCTAACATTGAGCCACGTAACTCACAGTGAGTCACTTAAGTCATTCTTAGTGGCCAGTTTACTTGCTTGCAGTGAGTCAGTTTACTAGCTCTTAGTGAGTCAAGTAACTCACTGGTGAGTATAATTAATTAAAATATAAAAGATACTGAGGAAATAAAGTGTATGTGTTGAATGAAAGTGTTCAATGGACATGTTATAAAATTTCACAAATTTGGATAAATAAAGCATAATTGTTGAGTTTTGTATTATATGTAAATTATATGCTTGGAATTGAAATAAACATAAAAATTACATTTGCTTTTTATCTGTGGGTTCTCAATAAGGGATTGTTAAAAGGTTTTCCAAACTTTTTATATATATCAGGGACATTGATAACATCAATTTGCACCATTCTGTCTGTGTTTCCTGGAATTCCATTCAAATAAGCATTTGATGTCTGCTAATATCATATAAGCCATTGCAATAGTTTTGTCATAAACGCTTAGATTTTGCAGGAACCACAGACATCTGATAGAATATTGGAATGGTGTAAATCGATGCTATCAGTGTCCCTGATCCACAAAGGTTTTAGAAAAGCTCTTTTGAAATACATGTCATAGCCCTAGTACAATTCATAAAATATGGTATAAATGGAAAAACAAAATCCACTTCAATGGGGTATTAACAAAAACTGATATTTAGTTGAACACTAGGAGAAAGGAGTAATCCTGTTTTAAGAAAAGTAGTTTAAGAACGCATTACCCTTGTAAGAGAAATTGTTTAGGATTGCAAAACTCATTTTCTTCAAATGTCAATCAATGTTATAGCCTTTAAAAAATATTCAGTCATAAACAAAGTGGTCTGATATTTGTATGACTTTCCAACATCTGTTCAACACTTGTCTATTACAAAATTTGGCATTCGCAGGATTGGTTCCAAGTTCTCACTGCAATTCTACTGTGAACTTTTATGACAATTAAAGATGGGTTCCCTTATTTTCATTTATGAAAATGCTAATACTCATATCTATAGAAAGTAGAGGTATTCTAATGACTTGGAAAATATCAGTTTATACCTGTGAAAATTTGAAATCATTTTCTGACTGAAAAGATCAGACCTCAGCACAAGGGAGATGACTCTTAAGTACATACCATGATTCAGACAACACTTTATAAGTTTCCACCGTCATCAATGATCTTATACTATTTCCTTCTGTTGTGCTCCCTATTTGACTGGAGACAAGCAACCATTGTGTTGTGCAATGGTGCCAAACACCATTGGATTACTCTTTCTCAAATTCAAACTGGAAGTGTATTTATTGACCGTATTTACCAGCATATAATCCAATCAAATCGCTGCATTTACCAACTGTCATGATAAAAGGAAATGCTTCATGATGTCAGGTCATTGGACAGAGCTTTTAACACTTTGACATCAGGGTTGTTGATTTATTTTTATGTCAACCAGACACTTTTCCTTGGTCATTGTAAAGTTGTAGGGAATCATAAAACTTGGGTTTAGTTTTCCCTTTATGATACTTAAAAATATATATTAGTTACATTAACAACATGGCTTTGATTGGCTGTATTGAATAGAGTACAAGCCAATCAAAGCTAGTAATAGCTTGACATTGTGTAGATGATATCGTCCAGACTTAGCATAGATATTCACTGATTTTTACATTCGTTTACATCAGACGCCTCTGCCTTCACATGTTTCACTTTTAATTCTTTCTTTGGTTTTTCTTTCGCTTTTACCTCAATTTTCGAAATGTCCATAATTGTGTCTGTAACAACCTTATTCTCCATTTGTCCATTTTCTGAGAAAACTTGGACATCGTTTGAAATGGACACACTCTTTTTGTACGACATTTTCATCAGATTTTGAAGTTTCGGAGTATCAGGCACATTTTCTTTTGAAAAAAATAGATTCGCTCCTAAATTTGGGTTCACCTTTTCCGTAATTTTAGTTTCTGTTTGACTCGTGTCGACCTCGAGGGGTATTTTTTCTTTCTTCTTTTGCAGAATTTCTTTCTTGTTCTGTACTTTGTCTAAAAGTTTAAAAAAAGACGTTATCATGAAGAATTCTTCCATTGATTAGAGCATTTCATTGGTTGAGTATTTCAGTGACCTAGAACACATATTGAATAAGAATTTCTTAAGATCATAGATGGTAAATAGGTACAACAAAAAAAGATATTTTCAAAAAACCAAAAAACCACAAACCTGGCTCGTATTTCAATTGTAGCTCTTCTATTTTTAAGGCTAGTTTTATATTTTGTCTGTTGAGACCCTCGTGTTTTTGGGTCAGATCGACTATCGAGCGTTCCTGAGTTAAAACTTGGTTGCTGGTGTCAAGAAGTTGTAGGTTTTTCTGTCGTAAATTTTGCTTTACTTCTTTCACCTCCGCCCTGAAAAAAAAAAAACAAATACATGTAGCTTAATATAAATTAATCTAATTAATGAGGTTTTCTAAATTTTGTATGTGTATCAAGGACACTGATAGCATCAATTTGCACCATTCCAATTTTCAGTCAGATGTCCGTGGTTCCTGCAATTCCACTAAATGTTTGATGACGTCACTAATTGTAAAATATGCTTCATTACATAAGGCCCTGTGTGAACCCTGGCCCTTCAGATTAACGAGCAGGCATTTTAGCAGATATAAAAAAAAACACCTACTCTGTAGATTGTAACATGGTGATCAGATATTGAACATATTGTTTGTCTTCTTCTGTTACATTCTGCTGTATCTCTGTTAGATTTTTACCATGAAAATTCTACGAAAAAAACATGTGTGGAACCATTAAAATGAGTTTGAAATAACAGGACACAAAAAGTAATTTTTATACACAAATTTCATCCGTTAAATGTCGCAAATTATTTATCAAAGTAATTGTTTTCCTTCCGATTATAGACTTCTTCATTGACTTATAAATAACACTCATAGAAAGATCACCAATCTTAATTTTACCTCAGTATTTTCATATTTGTCTATTTTCTCTAGTAGATCTTGTATTGTAGTTCGAGCTTCTGTAAGTTGAGATTGAAGACGAGAAATTGAAGATGTATCATTCTGACCAGTACTCATTTGTAATAACATTACCATTTGCATCTAAACAAAGATAATACAAAACAATAGTCAAGGGCAATAACTCTTACTGCATTCACATTTCAGATGTAATAACATTACCATCTCCATCTAAACAAATAATACAAAACAAAAGTCAAGGGCAATAACTCTTACTGTATTCACATTTCAAATACGACATGTAGTCATACATCAAAGAATCAATCAATATCAAGTCTAGATTAAAGACAGATGGTCGTAATTCAAATGTGTAAATTAAATTTGAGAGACGCTTGAACGAAATTCAAAACGTCATGTGGCTACGTCTGGCTTACTCCCGCTGTCAGAAAACTGATTAAGAGATTAGACCATACCTGTTGTAAGTGTAATGATAAGGAACCACGTTTAAATGAGATCAATGCAGTATATGAAATAACTAACAAGATATCTACCTTGAGTCTCTGATGAAGTTGTTTTTCTAATTCCAGTTTATCTTTCAACGTGTCGTTTTTAACTCGTAGTGAAATCAATCGTTTTTCAGCCTCTACTCTCCTATCTTCAACCTTTTAAATAATACAGTATAGAATACATGTTTCAGGTACATAATCCTCATCAGGACAGCTAGGTTTTGGAAACGACTTTTCCAATGTAGAATTTGAGATATATAGGATGACACGACCTATACATCAAATGAATTTCATTCTTTGTAGAGAAACAGTGATGGCACACATTCCAGAATCAAAATTCCAATTCCACTAGAAACATACCTCAGAAAATATGGAGTTGCCTTTAGCATTCTGTAAATTGGCTTCCATTCTTAAAGCTTCTAACTGTGCTGTCAGGTCTGCATTCTCTGTTTTAAATTTCTAAAAGGTATTTCAATGTTAAAATAAATTCACATTTCTTTAACAAGGTTCATTAAAGATAGTGGACCACAGCCATATACGCCCACCACGGCATGCGTTTGGTAAATATTCAAGATTTTGGAGCAAGGGCAATAACTCTGCTTCTAACGGTCGAAAATAGCTCAAATTCGAACTTGATCTTCGTTTTATGGATATGTATACACATACCGAATTTCATTTGATTCCATCAAAAAATCTAGTTTTTAGAGCGTTTACAAGCAAATGTTGACTGACGGACCAACAGGGGTGCCGACAATATACGTCCACATAGAGAGATGTGGGTGTATAAAAATGTTATCCATTAGTGCAGTCATACTACATTGAGCGCAATTCCATTTTTTTCTGACGCGTTTACATTGTAATCTAACAATTTCATCATGTAGGACCCGTTTCTTGATAACAACGAGGAATTGCGAATATTGCTATCCCAGGTTTGATCATTGATATCACGAAATGGGTCTGATGGAATGCTTTGAATGGTAAAAAATAGCGTCATTAGAATTAGGATTTGTTCAAAAATAAAATTGTAAATTTTGAGAGATTACTTACCTCTATACTGTTACAATAGGAAGTCATAGAACACTGGATTTCTTGTATCTCTTCATCTTTCATCTTTAGTTTAGACTTGAACGCCTGGACTTCATCTTGACAACATTTTAACTCAGTGTGAGTATCAATCATTTGACTGGTTAATCCAGTCTATAATATACAAATGCAGAATGAGATACACATTATGTCTAAATTATGAGAGAGAGTCCAGAAGGCTTATTAGAAACATGTGCCATGATAAAAAATGAGCTCTTATAGTTCAAAGGGCAGGCTATAACACAGTCAATTAGAGTGTTAGAAATATTAAGTATATATATTTGCCTGCTTAACTACAATGAACAAATGGTGAATGTGGGTTCTAATCTCCGTCATTGTGTGAACATCCAGTGCTCTTGAATAATCCATCTGTCCTAATGATTCCCGTCAACCAAGCTATAAATGGGTACAGATAATCTGGGATTGGCCAAAGACCAACTGGTAGACAGGATCCTCATTATTCCAGTCAGCTGTAAATGGGTGCAGATAATCAGGGAAAGAGCCATGTTAAAAGGTTTCGCCAAGGACACGCTGGTAGACAGGATCCTCATGAACCTAGGTAGTTATCAATATTCTTGTGTATTGGACATGATTCTGACTCATGTAAAATAACTAGTTTATTAATATCATACCTGTTAAAAATGGCTGTTTGTCTCTTTCTTTTAAATACTTACATTATCTGCCTGCAGTCGAAGTATCTCTTGTTGTAAATCACTAATTTCATCTCCACTGGTTGAAAATGAACGAGATGTAACTTGAGTTTGGTCTAGCTGTTGTTGAAGCAAATCTTCCAGTTGTTGAACTTTGTCTTTTAACTGAATTTCAATTTTCTGAGAAATTTCATAATCCCCTTTCAATTCATTTATCTGAAATTAAAAAGAACATTTAACCAGTTAAAATTCAACATCAGGACCAATTTAAGAATCACAATCAACAGATGGTAAAGAGTTTTTTTTAACTTTTCATGTGTTTAAGGGACATTGATAGCATCCATTTTTTTTTTTTTTGTGCAATTGTGAAAATAAGCAATGAAAAGCCAATATTAAGACAATACCTGTTTCCTGAATTGAGACAAATCTTGTTGTTTGGTCATCTCGAATTCTTCCAGTAATTTTATTTTCTGAGAGGATAAGTCTGATTTAAGTTGAGATAACTCCTCATCAAACCAGTCTTTTTCTTTACGATGTCCTTCAACTTTTAACGTCAGTGAATAATTGTCTTGTTCTAAAACCTGAAGAAGAAAAAAAGTTGATTGTTGTTTATACTATTGAGGAAGAATGGAATAAGAACTCATCCATTCTTATCAAAAAAGGTTATAAACCAAACCAACTCACATTCATGTCAAGGGACACCTGCAAGATATCTCAGATACACTGCAGAGTAGAGCTGGGTATTGCCAATCATGCCACAATAAAATATGTAAAAGGAGAAAAAGGCTATGATATGTATCACTATATAAGAGCTGTGAAAGGAAACTATCATATATAAGTAATATATATTCGATCGGATTAACTGTTAACGGATATGAATGGAACTTCTATCAGTAAGCCTACTTGTTGATTCTTAAGCTTACATGCTTTTAGATTCCTGTTAGTTAAATGTGTTTTCCTTAATACCTGTTTTGATAAAGGAATATGAGGTTTGTCTATGTCTATCATATGCCTGTCTCAGCCTGTCTCGGCCAGTCGCTAAATGTCAAATCACTGATATAGTCCTATCTTTCCAGATTGAGTTTGGACTCAAATATTCTTCACCCAGGCTTGATCTTACCTCAACCTTATTTGAATACTGTTTAACAACATCATCAATTTTCGATTTTAATTCTATATTTTCTTCTAATAAAGACTTTCCGATCTCAGCAGCTCTTCGACAATTCTCTTCCTGTTCCTGAAGTCTGTCTTTTAAACTTTCAATATCCTCCATTTCACTTTCACTACTGGCCATTTTTATGTATGATACTTGTTATAGTTTTTATCATTAAATGCTGAAACAAGCAAAAGTTAAAACAACCAATCATTTCTTCAATCAATAAAGCTTAGACCAAATTAGTCAGAAACATCTGCCTCTATTCCAGCCTCTGATGGTTATTTTGACAGTGTGGATATGCGGAATGTCCTCATTTAACAGGGCTTATTATTTCTGTCTCTACACCAGCTGTCATCTGTCCAAATAGTTATCAGAGACTGGAATAGAGACAGTTGTTCCCAAGACCAAATGAAATGAAAGGAGTTTTACTTTTCTGCACCATGTGGGCTAATGAAGACGGGCAGCGACATTCAGGATGCTATGAGAGAAACTGTCGATGGATCTTTAACGTGCATAGTCTCCACTCCAATCTCAGTCTGTAGTAAGTGTAGCACGACACACGGGGCCTATGTTAAAACCTCAACCAAGGGGTTGAAGTGGGTCCATGGACAACCTGTGGCACTCATACATGGGGACATGGGCATGGCTTTACCACTTGGCTTTAGTTGAAGC